GAAAGCATGTACGCAAACGTAAAGTCGGGAAAGTTACTACTTAGTAACCTAAGACGAAACGACATGATCATTTACATTTACAATATCAAATATCTATCAAAACTAAACAAAAAGAAAATAAATTGAACTAAATGCCGATACAATGTTGAATTAATTGATTTGAAAGACTAAAGCTTATCAATTAAATAGTGAAAATGAAGCATTATAGGAAGCCAAAATAAATAATTAATTATTTCAAAACATGTGCGGATTAAACACTTAGCTATGCCTTCGTGTTATCAACAATGATTTTACTTAAGATATTAATAAACGTTTTAAGATCATTTGTTTTAATAGAATCTGAAATAAAAACTGTATGAACAATAGTTGTAATTTAAGAACTGTCACTGGATCTATCTACAAAGTTAGTGTAAATTAAAATAAGAAGGAAGAATAAGAATGAATCAAAACCAGAATTCAGGACATAATTATGTTCATCACACACACACACGCACGCACGCACGCACGCACGCAAGCACGCACACACACACGCACGCACGCATACGCGCTCACACGCACGCGCGCACCCACACAAACACTAATCAATCAATTATACGTACTCTTTAAGTGAAAAATAAAATATCATATTTCTCATATAATTTTCTCCTGTATAAATATTTAGGCATATGGTTACAATGGGGAACGTGGACAGACTGCAGCGCCACCTGTGGAAATGGAATTCATCTTCGATATAGTGAATGCGACAAATCGGACTTTCAAAATACAGTTTGCTCAGGGAATTATGTACAAGTAGAAAGTTGTATAACTACAATTTGTCCAGGTGATTTGATTGAGAATTTCATTTATAGAATAAGTGTGCAAACATGATATGGACAGTAAAAATATTCATTTATGCACATTTTGCTTATAAGTGATGTACAAATTAAACAGTACTATTTCTTAACCGCTGTATATATATGACTAGTGTCTAATAACACTTGATCTTAAATTGCTGAATATATAGTTTAGTGTAGATCTACATGTATATGTACATGTCGTCTGCTAGTATTTAGATATATTGTATTTGCATATGCTTATGTGTTCAGCTATTGCAGAACTTTCCGGCTTGTAAGTGGTTTTACTAGCTTTGTAGAGTGTGGACAATCCTATAGCCATAAAAAGACAATGATATCGTAAAATGTCGTCAATGAATTTCATTTCATATTTTTAAGTATGTGTGAAATGTGTATCAAATGTTTTATCGTAAGCAGAATATTGGTTATGGACAGTATGGTCGTCATGGAATTACTGTGATGTCACTTGCAGCGGATGTACTCAGTCCCGTTTAAGGACCTGTAATAAAACTGTTTCTGCATTGAATTGTGTTGGAGACATTATACAACAACGACAATATTCCGTTTGGAACTGTCCAGGTATTTCTAAGCATTTCAAATGATTGACATCGTGACCCTAGATCAACGATTTGTCATGTCATATTGATATTTTAGTTAATTAAAAATCTGTAAACAAATTGATCCCTCTGAAGCATTTTATTCACAACAACACTACATGAAAATTGCAGACTCGGTTTAATTGAATTTGTATATAATGAATAAGTGCAACATCCCTCACGTTCCCTAGCACCGGCTTGAGCAGTACTCAATTCTCAACACTTAATAGTGCTATCATCAATGATCCCGAAGGACCAGAAAAATATAAAAGTCTTCCGATATTTCTAATAAAATACAAAATATAACGTTCAATTAATATTGCTGGTAATATGTTAAAAAGTTCAAAATACCGGTTTCTTGTGTTATTCCAGATTGTTCGATTATATGTAATGAAGGCGAGCTAACCCAAACTTGCGACGAGTGTTTGTGTAACAAGACAAGACAAGGATATGTTAAAACAACGATGAATGACACTGTATCTGACGCTGCTATTTTTATAAACGGAAGTCAGTTCAGAGCTATTGCATACTCTGAAGATTTTGGAATGTTTTCAACAGATGTCGTTTGTGATGATGCTAGTATTTACGTCGAAAAATCAGGATATTCTACATCTGCTTGTCAAGTCAGCCATGAGGAAATAATTTGCAATGTCAACAAAAATGGTATGACATTTACGAATTCTAAAGCTATTCAAATATGTAACACCTTGTAACGTTCTTACAATAATAATAATAACAATAATAATAAAATTATTTGAAATTATATCATTTGAAAACAACAGTTTTAAACCAATTAATTACAAAATATCGCTTCTGTTCATGCTATTTTCTTTCTTCAGAAAAACCGATTTTCAATGTACAGCCCCAACCAAAAGCTAGACTAGAAGGAGAAAATGTTACTCTGTGTTGCTCTGCATCAAGCAGCCCAGATGTCAATTACTATGAATGGTATATACACTCTTATTTTCAACTCGATATAATTATAAGAAATCTAAAAGTTATTATAAGTTCATATATTTTCAAACATGTATATGCATTAATTAAAATACTATAAAATCATTTTTTTAAAAGGTTTATCTAAAATTTTGCTAAGCAAAAGTTAATTGCTTTATTTGATATTGTTTGATTATTTGATATTGATATTGTTCATTTTGCCTCATTCTCAGGATGAAAGGATCTGTTTTGCTAGATAAATCATTATATCCGTATGGCGAGACATTACACATGACCAATGTTTCCGAGTCTGAATCAGGATATTATAGATGTAGGGCGAACTCTGATGCTGGAAGTATGATGTCAGAGGAAGCACAACTACATATAACAGGTATATAGATATCAATAAAATTGTTCATTTATTGGATACAATAGAGATACATTTACCTTAGTCATGCATAAATAAAAGGAGAAAGACGCATTACTTGATGGGAAACTTCCCATTTTGGGTACCTCCAACAGTGTTAAAGGACTTTAATCGAAGTGTTAAACAGAAATAACTATATGCATTATATATAGCTGATTGTGTTACACATACCGTTATCAGATATTAATTGGAGATTAATAGCATATCATTTTTTCCGCACAAATATTGTTGATAGAATTACAATACAATTATCTTGTCTCTATATACATGTATATTACGTCTTATTGAAGGTACTCATCATACGAAGTGGGTTATTGCAATAGACAGCTTTGTAGAAGGCCTGACCTTATTGAATCTGACACATGTCGTGATGAAAATCAAAATTGTTGCACAGTCGCAGATTTTGATATCAATACTGTCTTTTGTGCAGGATATAATTTGTCTGTTCTAAGTGTCAAAGCTTGCGGTTGTGGAGAATGTAGCTTTGACGAGGTACGAATTGTAGGTACAGTTTTATACTACGGAACGAACGAATTTGTTAGATTCGGGTTAGTGTACTTAAATGGTATGTTTAAAACTTACACCAGCACAAAAGGATTGTTTCAAGTATCGGTTGATGAACGTTACGGATCAGCTGTTATAACAGTCATTAGCAACAAATACCAAACAACAAACGTAATTGATGTTTCAGAAGGAACAACGGGGACAATTTACACAAACATGTTTATTGCGAGGGAAACATGTTCATTCGAAATAAATGCAATTTTCTTAAACATGATTTTTGTATCATTCGATATATTTTGAAAGAAAAAAAGTCGATTATGACCATCTAAGCGTGAATGGTGAGTGTAGATGTAAAGTAATAAAGGTTTACATGTTGCCAAAGTTGTTTTTTTGTTACTTTTGTATTCTACGATGCAAGCATAACCTGTAATCTACATGGGACAATCTTTTTATATCTGAGGCAGTTTTTATATCTTATCCTTAGGCCAAACATTTCATATTATATTTTTTTTGAGTTGGGTCAATAATCATTATAATAGTCTTTTGACGTTTGTTTGACTATTTAATCTCAACCTGGCAGCGAACGAATGGGCAAAATGTCATTTTAATTATTGTTATTATCTTTGATAGTTATTGGCTAAAAATGCTCGATTCATTTCCAAATTTCCTACCAATTTACTAGTCAAACTTTGTAAACAGCCACACAATTGGATAAATCTTTGGGACGTGTTAAATTACGCTCCCCAAGCAGAAAAAGGGCCAAATAGGTTTTGAAATGGGTGGTAAAGTGTAACAAGTTTTGTACATATGGTTAAATGTAACAATGGTTATTAATGTTAAAAAATGGAGCCTGTCGTGTTTCTGTAAGGAAATTTAATTTCTTACAACAACATCCAAGCAGTCGGTAGGCAGATATATTTATAAATACTTGATTAATATGTTAAAATATATGAAAATTATAAACCTTATATCAATTGAACACATCAATAATCATAAACTATTTATTGGTCACTTATTGCTGATCATAAACTGAGTATATCTGCTAAGTTCGAATGTTTTGGTGTTTTTTTTCTTCGATATAATCATGTGCACGAGTTTACTTACAGTATCGTTAACGTTACTGATAGTCTCGTCAATTTATAACGCAGTAAATTCTTCTGTGAAAAATAAACTCAGTAAGTTCTTATGTAAAATAAAATGTCCACCAGAAAATGTAATGAAAATGTCAAAAAACTTGTACATTTTATTTTAGGATGTCAATAAGATTACCAGATTTAAGTTTGTAATTTTTGAAATCCTCCTTACTTTCAACTTTTCATTGTAAATTTTACAGGAGTTCAAACTGATTTTAGACGGACTTCGACCAAAGAAATACACAATGTCCGAAAAACAGGCTTTTAATTTCACACATCGTTACACGCGAGTCAATTGTTTGTTTTCTCTCGCTATGTATTTCTAAAAGACACTTGTTCAAACACCAGTAGGGCCAACAATTTTCTTAAACATGATTTTTGAGTTCCTATAGGCCTGTTATTTGATAACTTAAAGACTGTCAGTCATGATATCTTCCATTTGGTTCGTCGATGTAATTTAAAGCTGTAAATACTCTGTCCAATTCTAAAGAAGTTGAATGCTTAACATGCTGTATGCCTCAAAAAGTAGACTTATGGCCTCTTAAACAAATAACAAAAAATACCGTGACGTAAAGAATAAACGAAGTTTATAAACCACATTTGAAAAGAAAAAAGGTTTAATATATTGTTATAAAAGAGTTTTCATTACAATCAAAATAAATAAAATTTAATTGAAATGCCGATTGTGAAGTATTTTCTTAACTTATGATAGTTGTGGTCGTCTTGCTAAAGTGTGAGCCATGACAATGATTACGGTCAATAAAATAATTCACATGGTAATGTGCTCTCGAGAGTTTCATCAACTGTGAAATAGACATCAGTTCGATTAATATCGCAAGTTATCTATTTCAAAATCAAAATCATCTTAATTGTTTAAATTATTGTAATAGCCCCAATTATGCAAAAAAGTAGGAAATCTAAAAGTATATTTTGACACAATGTCAGTATCAATAAGACGTTCAGTGCATTTCACTATTTTAGAAAGTGAAATATTCGAGTTAAACATTTAAAAAATGAATAAATACTTAATTAACATAAAAAAGCTGTTTAACACATTCAATATATAAGCAAAACAAAAACAACAAGATTATTAACATGTAAATAATATGTTATCACAAATGATAATGAACCATTTAAATATACAAATAGAAAAATCCCTTTAAGAACATTAATTCTTAGCCACTTGGTACTGATCAATGTTCTGTCATACATATCTCCAAACATACTTGATTTGAATTGTTTGCCATATGAATTAGTGATTAATTTATAAGAAATATCAAGCATGGTAACTACTTATATAAAGTCAAGAAATAGGTTAATACTTTATATGTTGAGTATATTACTGTATTGTTACATTTTATTTCAACCAAAGCAGGAAAAACTCCCCAAAAAAAACCACCAATTATTACAGTTGTTTTCTCCTGTTAAAGTGAATGTTACAGCGACACCGATATCCGGATTGTCGTCATCAAGATTATGGGGTATACCCGAGCGACACTCCCCTTCAGCTGTGTTTGTGGCGCTATCGATATCTAATCGATCGGATGTTGCTGAGTATAAGCCAATTTCAGGTGTGTATACTGTAGGTGCTTTCATATCGTATCGACCATCGACTTCCCCAAGTTGGGCGACATTGCCCAGGTCAGTAAAGGATGACACAAAATCGGCTTCAGTTGTTATTTCACTAGTAATACCGCTTTCAGGATAGATAAGATGCAAAGCAACTCTTGTATAATCAAATTGCTCATCAAACACAGGATCAATTGTTCCACTGCATTTATATTCAATGCAAAATGTCGTGTCTACTAAATTTGAAAGTGCGTACTCTCGGATACCAAAAATAAAATTTTCGGTTTCACTGTATGTGCCACCATAACTTGTTGCTTTTAATTTGATAAATTGACCGGGAGACAAATATATGGTTGATTGAAACATAATTCGAACTTTCATTAAACAGATTCTGTAACCCTCTGGAACTCGAGCAGGATACCAGGTTCTTTGACTGTTACGAATAAGGAAATCTATATTTGATCCTGGACCTGGCAACTCAAAAAATTTCATGTAGGTAAATATTTCATTTGTCTGTCCGTAATGAAACTTTAAGTGTTTTTCGTCTTTGCTTGAGGCTTTGCATTGAGCTTCGTTTCTAAAAAATGGTCCATCTTCCGATACAGACATTTGAATGTTTAAAACCTTTTCTTCATCTATTATTTGATAATAGTGGCTAGATTGTTCTAATGCGGGAGTCCCAGCAAAGAGATGATCGGTACCTTTTCGTCCGTAGTAGAAAAGAGATATAAACGCATTATTTCCTTCGCAAATTCCTGTCATGCATTCGCTTTCAGGGTAGCGCATGTAACTTTTTACAGTTGTTAATAAATTACCATTAAGAATATGGGTGTGTACGTTAATATATTTCCTCGTATATGTAACAGTCGCTAAGGTTGTCGCGTCAACGAAAAGTCTTACTTTGAAGAAACAGGCGGTCGATCTTCTTCTTATCCTATCATAATTGAACCAGGCTTGAGATATGGTAGACAAGTCGAGTTCTCCAATCCAACGAGCAGTATTTATTTGCCTTCTTCTTCTGGTTGATCCAGTTTCTTGCGTTACATACTCCCAAACTCCAGTTTCAGTGTTAATCATCCATAATTTTATTTCCCCTAGAATGTCTTCGTCTTGAACTGCTTCAAGAGGAACGTAAAAATCGACTACTTTATTTAAAACCAAAGGTTCTCCAGATGAATCTTCAAAGTAAAGGCTGAAGACACCAAGAGAATCTAGATCAGCAAGTTGCCCTTCTTCGTCAACAATTTCAAATGTTCCTGGCATGTTTTCTAGTACAGATGAATTGGTTGGATCAAGAAAAGTTAGACTTGCATCAACTGTTCCACTATACTGTGTGCCATTTGAATAGTAAAATGCGTTAGCTGGAACCAAAATTTGAATAATTGACGTGCTTTCGTTATTTTCAGAAGAACCTGCAGCCAAAGTGTTGTCAACTGATGAATCAATTTGCACTGGTTCTGATGATTTAATCATGGGAATGTCTATTCGAAGCACTCCACCCATTTGATCATTGATGTCGATTACCTTCACGGCCGGTAGAAACTGCTTGAAATAAACATCTTTTAAGTTTAATGTTATCCTTGGAGAAGCTTTGGAAACATCAATATTGAACCCACCTGATGTACTTGTGTAGGTTTGAAAAACACCATTTAACCAAACTTCGCCAAATCTAAGAGGGGATCCATCTTTCACGCCAAAAGCTGATCCCGAAATTGTAAGAGAATCTGATACACATGTGCCACAACTACACGATTTTACAACAACAACCTCAAGTTCATAGCCTGAACATTGAACTTTTTCAAGGTCAGCTTCGCCTGTTGTACAGCATGTTGTGATGTCCTCACGGCATGACCCATTGTCGGTGGTATTGTGGCCCCTACAACGCTTTGGTATGCATTCCCCTACTTCATATGTTGCAGTGTTTGTTCTGGATTGGATACAATCATCAGGTAAAGCGATTGTTTTCTGCTGGAGGGCATCGGAACAAAACTCGTCAGACCCCTCTACAATGCAAAGATTAAACATAGAACAACGATTCCTTTTACTAGTGAAAGTTATAACTATCATTTTTTATTCTTTTATCTCTGTTTTGTCACATTAACACAATTTAGATATGGAAACATAATGTAAATTAATACATTGTTTCAAAGCAGTAAAATTTAAAGAACTTCCTGCTAACCTTTTATGTTCATTGTTGCTACAGGAGACATTATAGCTCCAGCAGCACTGTTAGCTCTACATTGGTAACTGCCGCTATCAAATGTTGTTAAGCTTGTCAAACTTAATTTATTACCCTCTTGATTTAAGCTCTCGTTAAGAATTTGACCATCTTTAAACCTGTTAAATAAACATCACTTTATAACACTGCTGTAATTTTCACACGTAACGCTACACATACTATTTATTGTAAATGGAAATATTATAAACAAAATTATGACAGCTGTACAGAAACCAATGAAAAATGAATTAGACAAATTCAGAGATAAAACAGAAAGAAAATAAAAAGGCAATATTTTGTTTTGTTAGGCATATCAGAATTATTATGAAGATACATTTATTTTATTTAAAATGAAAGAACAAGTGTGTTGTTTGTGGTTATAAACAGGCTCAATCAAACCGAGCCTGCAACTTTTTCAATTTTGTCGTGTTGGGCTTTCTTTAGGGATTCTGTATTTCACTATTTGAATTAAAAGTAAATATATAATATGAATAAAAATGAATAAAAAGCATTACCACTCGTAATAATCGATAGGTGGATTTGCTATAGCTTGACAACATAGCGTAGCATCTTCACCCTTTAATCTGTATTTTGTTTGTGGCGTTTCCGTTAAGTAAGGCAAAACTTTAAAACAAAATTGTTAATTGAATAATTAATCTATCGATTATAAATAATATATTCTTAGAGATGGAAATTTATCACCAGATAAATCCGCAGTGTTAAGAATATATTTAAATCGTATGACTAGATATACTTTATTGTTCAAAGAAATGTTTTCCCTGTTTTACAAAGGAAGAAAATATGTTTATTTAATGAGTACAATAAAAGTATAGATAATAAGAATTACTTTGTTTTGTCATGTTGACTATCAAGTAGTCACTATTGATAAAAACGATTTGATCAACGAATCCGGATTCTAGTTACTAATAATTCCGTGTTTGCGCACACAAATTTTCCAGTGTAAAGAAACCAGTTGAGTTGCTTTGCCCAGAAGTTTGGTCGGTGCTGTACTTGAAAAAAATTTGGCATTGCCTATTGGGTTCCCTGTATCGACAACGCACACCCTACCATTTATTACTTCACCGCCACACTCACATGTATCACAGTCATCGTTTAATGTTCCGACGATGCATGCTTTGCTACAATCTACAACATTATCAAAAAGTATTTTGCATTAAATATATGTTAAGAAAAATCTTATTGTTTCTACCATTTTTTGGTAAACCTTTCATATTTACAACATTTACAATAGAACAACCCAGTATTCTTAGGTGTCTAAATTCTAAAAATCACGTATAACTTAGAAATCGTTGGGAAAAGAACTCTCAATTTTATCACTAATGTAGGATAAACAAACCTGGACATTCCCATTCAGCGCATGCTTTATTTTGTAAACTTAAACCAATACAGTTAATGTCAGATGAATCAATCTTAGAACAAGATCGCCTTCTTGACTGAGTACCACTGCCACAGGTCCTATCACAACTTTCCCAAGATGCCCACGTTGTCCACTTCCCAAACACTGCAAAATAAATGACGCACGACGCGAAAAAACAGGTTTTAATGACATTTTTTTCGAAATTTGGTTTTTATCTAATTTTTGTAGAGATTTTCTTTCTGAAAAGATAGAGAAAACTATTTTAAATCAAAAGGTTATTTATTGAGATATACCTATTTAAAGAACGTCATACATTTGAACACTTTATTAACAAATGACGTCGGGCGTTGACGTTTATAAATTGAAGAATTTTAAAACGCCAATTTTATTTATCTTAAGTTTGATCTAACTGTAAAAAGTAAGTTTCAAAGTTTATTTCAGAACTCAATTCATGTACACACATGACAATGAGCTATAGCATATAAGCATACATAACATAAAAAGGCATAGCATACAAATGAAAATAATAATATTAATACAATTCATCTTAACAAAATGGAACAGGACACACATTTTCAAGGACATGATGAACAAATATGTAGAAATCTATTTTCAAATTTTTTGATTATTTCCTTAACAAATAAACAAAAATTACTATATTCATTACAATGACTTATATTTATAATCATAATAGATTTTAAAGCAAATAAAATTCGTACATAATTACGATCTAACATTCTGTTTCTTAGTTCAGATAATTCATTGCATTCAAAGAGATAATGGAATTCATCTCCAATACTTCTGGAGCTGTTACAAAGTGTACATTTACGTAAATTTAAATCTATACCATTCCAACTTCAGGTTTCTACAGGAAGGCTGCTGTTTGTTGTTACATATCTTAGTAAGTTTTTTGGTGTATTTGTTAAATAGAGTTCGAAATGGAATTTTGTTAAGATGAATTGTATTAATATTATTCTTGTCATGTGTATGCTATTTCCACAATAAAATAATTTATAATTTTTACATTTACTCGATTCTGTACAATACTAGTCATTTAGAAATAAATCAGACAGGTTTTGCTTCACATTAGCAACTAACCAATTTTTTGCAAAGAAATCATTCAAATCATTTAAATAAAAGAATAGAAAGCAACGGCGATAGATTAGTAATAAAGTTATGTAAATATGGGGCTTCTCGCTAATTGCGACTATTATTCGTTGCTTAGCAACGTAATAACAACACGAACGTGCGTGTCATACACGGCTAATCATTTGTATGTTTAACATAACCATGATAAATATCTTCAATCTGGATAAAACCATTCAACATCTTTACTGGATTTTTTTTATGCACTGACTGAAAGCAATTATTGCAGACCACTATCAGAGGGCACAGGTGTTTTGGTGGGTTTTTGTATGCACTGATGGCATAGGTTGAATCATCCAGTCAGCAGACAAATTGTTAAGTATATACCCAATACAAAGAAAGAAACGAACAATAATATAAGTCTACGTATTTCAACGTTTAATGTCTTTACGACTATGAAAAATAATAAATACATGTAAATAGTTAATTTCAAAATTCTACACTTACTTTGTTATTCTTTAGAACATAACAGTGTAGAAAATTGTAAAACAATTCAATAATGCCGTATGATGAACATAGAAACAAGTTGTTTGAAATATGTGTAATCATTAAACTGTTAAAACAGTGCACCTATATCATTGATAATAAGATGTAACGATCGCTCGCACGCTTCGCACCAAATATCTATTGCGCTCTTTTGACACCCCGAGGCGTAATAACTCATGGACGGACACCTGAACTGAACCGGAGTCCTGGTTACTTTGAGACTTGAATCAACTGTTTCTCGCTTTCGGGTATCATTCTGGCCACCACCACACCCAGTGTGTCCGTCTGGAACCGAATGTGCTGGAATTTACTATCAAGAGAAAATGATAAATATCTGTAATGACAACTGTTACAAACTTATTTCCTAATATGCCTCTATAAATCAACAATATTAAATGTTATTCTGTGCACATTAAAAAAAATAGTTCAAAAATGGAACAATTTGGACAGCTCCGTAAACATGGTCACGTGACTAAACTTTACATACTGTTTTTATCAGTTTTTAAAATAAACTACCTATAAATATAATTTAATTATAGAAGGAATGATATAAAATTTATTTAATGTTAAAAGATTCGGCTTAAATAAATCTTTAAGGACCATGAATACGTTCTAATTATACGGTATGGACATTTTTAACTTCATGCTATTATAAAAAGGTAAGTAAAGTAAATTAGAGTTACTGGTAAACGATTAATAGAAACAATACACCCTCACACTTTCATGTATAAGATATTTTCTCTTTCTATGGTACAGCAACTCCGACTTTAAAGTTAACAATATTTTCATTTAAAACATTTTCATTTGAATGCGATAAAGATAGTTTACCTTATACTTGAAAAATATCTAGAAAGGGTTTGACCACTGAGTAACATACAGCGCTGTTTGTTGTAGACGATTTCTCTATAACATCGGCTAGCTGTTGTAATTTTTCTACGGAATTTAATCTTTAGATGTTCAAATTGCACATCAACTACACACTGCGCATGTCCTAAAAAGAAAATTAAAAATCATTTCAAAATATGAAAAATCTTTACCTAAGAAAAAAATATATATGCTTTTTAACAAAACTACAGTGTTTATGATACATATTTTGTCATTAAGAAAATCAGATGAGACCGTAAAAATTAATTTAGATTGCCGAGTACCTAGAAGTAAGTAAGAAAATAAGTAATGAATGTTTGTATGATAGTTTAGCCATAATAGGTACTATTACAAACCGTTTGACCATTATATCATTGTAAATAGTTTGCTATAAAAACCGAGTGTATCAACAAGGCAGGAGTCTGATTAACTTGATTCTGCAATGTCCAGTCTACCATCGACAGCACAGCGTCAGGTCCGTTTGACCTTGGTCATTTAGGAAGTTGAATTGTTGGAGGATGTCATCCAGTCTGGATTTTACGCAGGGTTAAAAAGTATATTGGGCCCATCTGGTGAGAAAATAAGAGAAGCAAACTGACATTCTGACTGAAGGGACAAACTTTTCTTCAGTTTCACGTGTGGCAACACTACACCGTATACCCTCATTACCTATGAAATAACAAAACAGAGACCAATAGTTAAACATAATTAAAGTGACATTATGCCTTTCCAAGTATAAATGGTGGGTGAAAAGGTCAAAGTCAAAACAACTTGAGATTTTTCCATAATAGGTTTCAATTTTTAATTATAGATAATATTCACGTGAATAGTCAATAACCCACATGAATCACAAACATTTCTATAGATATCCTTCGGAATATGTCGTTAATGCTCCGTTGATAAAAAGAGTGGGGCAGGCCTTTTATATTTCAGGTAATTTATCCTATTTTATCCTAATCAACTATTGTTCAATGGCCAATATAATAGTCAATCTTTTTAAATATGTAGTCCAATGAACTCACCCAGACACATTGAGCGTAATGATCCTTGAAGATTGAGGTAAAACAGCGTTTTTGAACCTTATTAAAGCAACGATCTTTATAATAACGGTAAAAAAATCATGATATCACCTGAATAGGTAACATAGTGCACTAGTTAATGCTTTTCAATTCTTTAGTGTAGGGAATTACAGGCAAAATTATCATTCCTACGATTTGAATTTTTCTTTCAATAGTCTATAAATGTCCTCGAAATGAAAACACTAAGCAGTCAGAGGACCAAAACTTTTCTCTGTATAAAGAATAAAATGGTGGTTTCCCAACTTGACCCATGTGGGTCAGGTTATAGCATTTAGACTTCAAAATAGCTGTTATAGAGAACTATGAAAACGTCAAATGAATGACTAATACTTATTTCAATCTAACAATATCCAGAATATCTGTACATTTTTTGTAATTGTAATTTCCAGAGGGGTTCCAGTTATATGATTTGTTTTTAAACTACTCATTGACTCTGTCGTCGTCTTAATTTCGTTCAATATATGAAAATATAATTACGCTTCAAGCCAAAAATATATAGTATTTATACAGAAATTCATGCTAGGACTTTAGAGAATGACATTGTGGCATGATTTGAGTAAATAACACCAATTTACTATTTTTGTCATTAATTTGTCTAAGTACCCCTTTAAATTCTATAAAAATACACTTTATAAATACTTACTTCAAACTCCTCATCTTTTAAACTTTCTTCAAAATTCCGACGTAGGTAAACTTTAAAAACTTCAATTACGCACGATAAAAAGCATTTCCGTGTTAACATGTGTTTACGCAAGAAGAGTGACGTCATTTAAATCGCTGTAGTGCACATTTATTGGCGTGCCATTAAGACCGTTTTTCTCGCGTCGTGCGTCAAATTATATCATGATTTTAAAGTTAAATAGAAAATAATTCAGGACAGTTCACAAACATGACTTATTGAATAGACCGTATTAATAGAAATATTTGTTGACACCTTTGTATAGATATAAAGATCTTTTAAGTTGTTTCATTTCAAAAATATAATATTATGTTAATTGTTAAAAAAAATTTATAATGGAACACACCCAGAATCTTAAATTAAATGATATTGATTAGTACATAGTAAATAAGGTCATTAAGTACCTGGACAAGCAGTTTTTACGCACACTTCAGTCTCTATGTAATCTCCAAGACAATCTGTTGAGTCTTGTGCATTGCAGTTTCGGTATCGTTTATGAATTCCAGAGTCGCATGTTGAGGTACACTCTGTCCAATATCCCCAAAGACCCCACACATCATCTACAGGCCCTGAAGTATGAGTCATAAAGTGGATTGTCTTATTACTCAAGAAACATTAACAATTTAACGAAAAGGGTTACTTGATAAAGTTTTAATTACATGCAAATATTTGAATATGACTTACCCGATGTTGTGTTTCTAGATATTGTTGTTGTCGTTGAAACATTATTTGGTGGGGCCGTTGTAGTGGTAATAGTGGTTAGTATTCGACTTGTAGTTTTCCCGTCTGGGGCGCCTGCTATGGAAATTTATATATTTTTATAGATAATTGTGGATAGTCCAGCCAGATAATTATTAATCCTTTTTTACAATTAAACATACACAACACAGCCTATCATATAATCAACATTTATTTACGCATTTGCGCTAGATACTGTCGTTTTCAGAATATATCGGATGTTAGTAAAATAACAAAACGTAACATATGGTGGCAAAGTAATAAATGAATTAATAATAGCGTTAAATTTAATAATGTACGTTTTTATTTTAAGAAAAGCCACGCTACTTTTTCTAAGAGCAAACAAATAAACATTTAAAACAAATCTTAAAAAAGGAAATTGTGTTTTTCCTTTTTAAAATTTTAGTTCAGTCAGAATTGTTGTTTTGTCAAAGTATGAATGCTTTCCATAATAAATGAAATTTTTGAAAATATAATCAAAATTCTTCATTTGACAGTCAAGTCATTAAAAGGTTAATGACATATCTAAGTTATTCCACATGTCTGTTTGGTCACAATTGTTGTTTTGTCCACATATGAATCACATCCGTACATAAATAACAAAATAATTACAACGGTCAAAGTCATTTAAAGCTCAAGATGTCTTGTCCAAAAAGGTTGTTGCTAAGTATGAGTATAAAGTGATTGTCTAATTACAAGAAACATACCAATTTACGAGTTATCGGTTTTTGAAATGCAATTGAATCTACACAACATTCGATGGTCAATATGTAGTTTCGTTAAAAATTTGTGTATGGTACGAGTTTTTTTCGCGATCCAGAACCGCCCTATGAATCTTTATTTGTCTTGATATAGAGATAATTATATAATCCTTTTTAATTACTATACCATTAAGCAATAATCAACTTTTGATACAATTATTGTCAAATATAGATGTTACAACAATAAAACTAACAATTGAGATAAATGTGTAATATACGACATTAAAAGGTTGTTTAAAAAGAAAAAGGTTGTTTGATTTAAAAGGTTGTTTGCACATCGTAAACTATTAACTGTAGCCTTTCCGTCAAATGTCTTGGTCATAAGGATATGAATATCAGCCGTTAAAGCTATTCCAATAGACACTACACAATTCATTCATCGGTTACGACAATCACGCACTCTCAACTCATGTCTTTCAATTTACTATCAAAAGCATTTTTTCTTACGATTTTGTTTCCGAGAACTATTAAGCTATTTTAAATACATATATAAAGATACATTTAAACCTTTTTATTTCAGCTTCTATACCTGGATTCATGTTTGTAACAATATTAATAAATTTAGTGTTACACTAAAGGCCTCAACAGACAAGAGGATTTAGTCGTACAACACTAATTAGAGATCAGCTGTACAATTTTCAAAGCAATACAACACTTGCATTCAGACGGTAATTCTGCATTGTAGGAATCATTTCAGGTTTCCCTCCCAATTGACCTCTTACATACTTTACTCATTAATTTTTTTTCTCTCCATGAGTAATGATTGAAACACCTCCATTTTTAAAAAAAATATTTTTTTTAATGTGCAGCCTGACCGAGACTCAAACATGGGACCCTCGGAATACCATACTGCAGTTCTACTGACTGAGCTATCCGGACGCCTACAAACTACCTCCCCTGATCAGAGAACAGTTCAATAATGTGACATAATCATTTTCGGAACAATTTTGGATTCGAACATAACACAACTTTGGGTCTCCTGAAGAGATTTTCAACATCATTTTTACTCCATCTTACTACTATGTTTACCTTTCATCCCCAATTGTTCTGGAATTTCATTCATTACACCTATTATCAGGAGATAATTTGGTAATATGTTACTTGTTATTGTGGGAGGTCTGTAGAAATCGGTACGACAATATTTCAAAATAGAACATGTCCTATCCCTTACATCTAGACATAAGGTTTCCGAATTCAAGAATAGTAGCTTTCACACATTAAGATTTGTCTGTACATCTTAGTTTTAATTGGTGTTGTACTTCAAAAACTACCGTCTTTTGAGACCTTAAGACATTGTAAACATTCACTGATTATTCACAGGTCATGTACACTGAACCAAAAATAACAAAAAACAACACTCCCCTCAAGTAAGAAAATAGCAAAAATAACAACATTATAACACCTCCGGGGCACATGTTTTGTGTCAAACCGGTGTTATCAGTGTCTTATAAGGACGCGTCTACACATGCAAGTATCATACTCGCTTTATTCGCTTGGGGTAATATAGACACCCTTCTTGAATCATTTTAATGAGAAATTATGTTACATCCATGAAGATAATTGGTTTTTCGGTACAAGGTCATGGTAATTAATTGATTTACACATGTCAGAAATGAACGTTTAACCGCACTAGCACTTAGTTGTACAGCAGGATAAGGGTAAAAGTGGCACTGAATTTAACCACCTTTTAGTTGAAAACCAATCGTTAATGGGTTAAAGGAATAAACAGTAGTAACCAATAAAAACAACGTTACATAAAAAATTGACGACTCCTTTTCGATTCAAATGCCGAAAAAGGGTAGATAACTTTAGCGTTTTCCATCCGCTTTTAAACGATTGTTAAGATGTGTGTAAAAGGCAATCGGACAAATTTGAAACAGTTTCCATAATGGAGAGTTTGATTTTGCCTTGTAATAAAACAGTTATTGTATGACCAGTTATATGCCATTAAAGCCAACAAAACAAACCAACAAACAAAGTATTTTGGTGAATATCCAAGACTATGGAACTTGCCATTGGTATCGGTGAATATCACATTAGCAAGGTTTATAGACTTGGATACTCACCTCATCAACTCATAATTGTATATAATACATAAAACAGTAAATGTTAAAAAGCATTTAATAATAGACTTCTAATGCCAAAGCACATGTTATATGCAAATAACAATTGATATTGTAATTGCACAACAAATCAGCTCATTTGGATTTAAGAACACTTAAGTATTCAGATCTGAATAAAGTGTTTATATAATTATAATAATTGAACGTTACCATGTGAAATGAAAATATCCTTATTTAAGTAGATCATAATTTTTAATCAACATGAAAACATTTTAATGAAGAGACAGTTGAATTTTATTCTCTAAAAAAACAGAATACATATTACTTAAATATTTTTGCCAATTAAAAAATAAATTATTATGACCTGTTGTTTTTTCTCCGTCATCGTCTTTTGATGTTAGTACAACAACAAGTGTAACAATTGTCCCCACCGCGATGACTCCAACCACTATCAACGCAATAACAAATTTAAACGGAACAGCCGGAGCTTTTTTTACTGTTGTCAAGCCATTTTGTGCGTTTATACTGGTAAACGAATTCCCTTTTTCTAGAGAAGCAATCGAATTGCCCCTTGTCATCCTATACCTTTTATTTCTATTTGCCCAACTTTGATCCATCTCGTTTCTCTTCTTACAAATGAATGTTAAAGCAATTTGCGATATTCTTTAAACCGAAATGAATAATTTTATGTACCAATCACATTTCTTCAGTTCAGACGTGAATACTATAGCTAGAGAAATAATCTATCAATCAAACTTTAACCTGCTATCCTGCTACTCTTTTAATTTGAGCAGCCTAGGATACTACTGCGCATGTGCAAAACATATGGTTAAGTTTGGAAAATAAACAATGACACAAACTGTAAATTCAAAAAATGTTATTATAAAACCAAGATAATTTATTGCCTAGCTGGCGATTGGCTTTTGTCCAATATTACATGCCATATCATTGAACTTTACCTCGAAAGAGATTGAATTTTTTTAAGGTATGTACCTTATCTTGTTTTAACAATTTGTTTTTATTAATTCTATTTGGTTTAATCATTAAATGTATATATTTTATTTTATTATACACCTTGTAACTATGCCATACACAAATCTTTCGCAAATTTAGAAATACCCCCGTTAGCGCTTTATGAATTACTTCCCCGCCAGTCTACACCAGGTTATCTGCACGTCTAAATAGATATTTTTAATAAGTAGACATATATTACTTTTATGAAAATATTTTGAAAATTTACTTATGATGTTGAACTTCACTTTCAAACATTAGATATATTATAATTTCTCAAATCCAGATATTGATTACTACTGTTACAGTTAATTCAATATCGTCTCAAACTTTGGTAGACATAACTCCGGTACAAATAGATAAAATATATAATAATTGACTTACATAACAAAGAAACTAAAAATGAAAAAACAACAAAATTGTTTATAATTGGTATACAATATTTTTTTACATTTTGTTAATACAAAACAAATAAAGGATTACATTTTGTTAATACAAAACAAATAAAGGATTATTTTCTATGAAAATAATATTTTGTGCAAATATTTAAAACCTGTGATCTGTATTTTAATTTTAAACATGAAAAGTGTGAAATATATCCACATTTATAAACAGATTTAGACATAGGTTTTTATCTGAATTTGGCAATGTGATTTTAGGTTATTTGCGACAATAATTTTAACCATTAAACATCATATCTGTCTTTTGAATACCTAATGGGTAATACACACGCAACTGTCACAATGTAGTTTTATATCTTTTGACTTGATCAAAGCCATTTCTAGCTTCCGCGTCCAAAGGTTAAAAAAACTGTACTGTTTACGTCTATAAAATTTTCTGCCTGTCTGTCTGTCTGTCTGTTAAAGATATTATGCTAACAAAAAGAGAATAAAAGACACTGTATAATATCACATATTACGGGTGGCTCAAACATTTTCTACAAACTATTATTACAACACGTTAATCCATTATGTTACAAACCGATGCTATAAATGCTTGAATAATGATAATACAAAATGTACCGCGACTTGACGTTGTAGGTAAATGGTCATATAAATTAACTACTGAATTTCAGGTAACGCTTCTGATCATTGTATGAAGTTGTATTGAATTCCAACCATTAGTCTTCAAGTTATGTCCGAACAAGGAAAATGCAACGGACCGCTGGACAGACCCACCAACCAACCGACCACCGGATGACTGCTACATACCCCCCCCCCCCCCCCCAAAAAAAAAGCTTTGTTTCAGGGTTAAAAAATAGGTAACGTATATAAACGTGCTGATTATACAGTATGCAAATGAAAAAACTTCATCCACGCATATAGGGAAACTAAATAGATCAGTTATACTACAATAATAGTTATACTACAATAATTTCTTGTTGAATGGTCTTTAAGAATCGTTCAATGCTATATTCTGCTTAAGCGTGAATGTTAGTTTGCATTTACTACTATTGAACATAAATTAGCTCATCGTTATAAAGTTTTCAACCGTTTCAACTTTGTTATGTTACATCGGCCTAGTTTTGCTTTTGTTTCGTGCATTGTAGTTTGGTAAAAATGCGATAGTATAGCAGTATATTTTCCCTGTATTGTAATGTTTTGTTCATTCAATCAATTAATTTAAAAGCGAACTTAAGATTTTATGTAAGTCGATTATGGAAAAGAACACGGATAAACAATACGAGCTAAAATGGATATATAATGATGGTTACACAACAGCATCAGATGATTATGAAACATTAAATGTCACACATACAGACGATAGTGCTTATGCATCTCTTGCACCACCAAATGACATTGTCTATGAAAACATAGAGCCTTCTCTTGACACGTTTCAAACCTCTAGGATTAAACCTGAATGCAAATGTCGACATCAAAAATGGATTGGATTAACTGGTGTCATATTAACAATTGTAGTTCTTACAGTTTCTTTGCTTATTACTCGCGGCGATTATGATAAAAGTGAAATCTTTGGTGAGTTTTTTCAATTAGATACCCAATTATATTCAATTTTGTCGTTTTGGGTTTCCTTTTAGGATTTTATTTTAATCTCTAATTATTTGTTTTCATTTAATAAGCCATAAACTAGATTCCGACCAAGTACCGGGCAAAATCGAACATTTTTAGTCTGGTTAACAAACAAATAATAATAGAAATATGAAATATTTTCGGAATAAATATTGGTTCACGATCTTTATTGTAAGCTATACACTTTTCATGTTCTTGACCGATGTGATTATTACGTTAAATGAGGCCCGAAAGCGTGTCGCAATGAGTAAATTATATTTCATACCAGGCGACCATCTATCGGAAAAGAACATATCTAACAGATACTGGTGGTAATTAATTAAGTATATATGATGTTTGTTTTCAGAAACATACATCTGCACCCGCTGCATTGATATGCCTCTTATATCGGCCTTTTCTTGGTTTCTATATTTATAACAAACCTGGAATCATGCCCGTTAATATACAAGAGAAAACGACGCTAAATGATAAATATTTCATCTCATCCAACCTCATCTTAAGCAAAATAATTCTGGTTATTTCATCTTTTGCTTGTCAAATATCATCTCTAATTATAAATAAAAACTGTTCACACTATTTTGACAGTATCAAATATACAATAAGCTAAAAGAGTAGCATTAAAAACTTTCATTGTATTTTTTTCAATAAGACAAGATAGAGATATTTTTGCCGTTAACAAAATCAAAGACTTATACAAAATTTATTTTCGTATACTTTATTCGTCAAAGATGTATAATTCATTACGTTCTTGTGATCACGCTTCTCAAACCTCGGTTGCAAATTAATTATACCCCATAGTGGCTTTAAATCCCACTTATATGCACTCTATGCGGAAATACTAAGGTACATTTCACAGGGAAGAATAAATATGGCTGAAATGATTAAGTATAATTCAGATTAACGAATAAGATAAAAGGTCCGGTACGTGGTCCTGTCCGGAAGAAGGTCGGATTCCATTACGTTTCTCCCTACCTTAAACAACTTTAAGCCGAAGCAAAACACGATAAAGCCTTATCATGTTATTCTTCACATAATATAATGCATAAAAACATACAAATATATTCTTTTGCAAGTTTTTCTAAATTTGGCCATTTTAGTCTAAAATAACTGGACTTTAAACAAGTATTTTGTAAACAACCTATTCAGAGAAAATGTTGATATGTTTTTACATTTGTCAAAACTCTTGGCTAATATTGAAAAATCCTTGCTTCGTTTATAAATTTTTTACATTGTTTTAAATAAACTGACGTTTGTCAATGCTATCGTTCGAGAGTCGAGACAATCGAATAAAGTACATAATTTATATAGATCAATAGCCAATAATTATAATTTTAAGATGGACAAAATTAGGATTTTCGAAATCATGTCGAATTTATTACAATCATTGATAGTAACCAATAATTATAGTTTTTGAAGAGTTAATATAATTTTTGAAATTATGTCGAATTTATTACAGTCATTTATACCATGCCATATATAAAATATCTTATTTTCCGAAGTATTGCTTAAGTGTGTAAATAAAACAACGAAAGACAAAAACGCTATTCTTGTATATGTGCGATATCGTTTTGCTAATCGCGTACAAAAGAATATAATAGTGCATACTAATCGCTAGGTAACAGTTATTACTATGTTTAGTTTATTATTATGTTGATCAAGGCTTTTCACGCTTTTCACCCAATGGTTTGCTTTGTACTATTTGAACCTTTACACCATCATTTTTGAGCTTATCATGTTTATTTTAGACAGTAGAAGTAAAGAGAATAATGAAAATGTAGTCACCGATTTTACTACTTCTCAATTAGTATCCTTAACAACTTCAACACAGTCGCAAACTTCAACCGTTGCAAATCCAAAACAGTTGGCTACCACTGGGGCGCTCTCATCATCTACGGCTATATCTAGCGGTAACTAAGCCTTCTTATTTCATAAGAAATATTTATTTTATGTACATGTACATTATATCTTCCTTCTCAGTTTTGCAAAAATCCTTGCGAGCACAGAAAATAATTTTTTCTTCTTTGCAAGTGTATAAGTTAGAGGCAATTAAGAGAGGCATAAGACCGTCAACTTTAAGGTATATGAAATTAGCTCTGAATTCATTCATAACAATAAGAAAGACGTGAAATTATAGGAAGAAATATAAATGCAAAGTAAAATAGAGAAACTCGCTTGATATGTTATATAGAATGCTTTCTGTCACGCCAGGGCATTGGCTGCCATGGACCATGTGAACGATATGTTCATCAACTTGTGGAGGAGGTATTCGAGAAAGACATAGGTCATGCTATCAGATATTTGACTGAAACGGCAACTTCAAAGAAATACAACGATGTTCCGAAAACCAGTGCCCAGGTAAAATGTGAATGTGAATTAGTGAACAAAAGTCAGTCAAAGCGAGTGTTCAATTTTCAATTAATATTTTTGTTTCACTGCATCCGAGAGATCACCTTTTTTCTAAATAAAAATGTAAAAATAAATCAATTATAATTTCACTGTACAAAATTAGTTTAAAGTTGAGCAGAACCTGTTTTCTAATAAAGCTACTATGAATAACGCAATTTGCTTTTTCTTGCATCATTTAAGAATTGTACTGAGTGATAGATAAGAATTTATACATATTTATATATCCTTTTTATTCATGTATTTATGTTACCTCATCATAGCATAATTCACCTGTCTGATCAATTTTTGGAACACACTTTTGCATGCAACTTAACAGTTTTGAACACTTAACGGATAATAATTTTATAAACTCAACTAAAACATTACCGAAGAAGCTCTTTTACTCTTCATTATTTGTACGCAAAATAAACTACATGCACATTGCTTGACTTGATGGCCGAAATCGTGTATATATTTATATATATTTTTAGTGTATGGAAGTTGGTCTAAATGGACACCATGGACAAGTTGCGATACGTCTTGCGGAAAAGGTCTCCAGAGACGCTCAAGAACATGTTCACAAAATAATGCAGCAGATATTGACTGTGTAGGAAAAAGTACAAACGAGAAAACTTGCAGCTACGGTGCATGTCCAGGTAGTCGTTCTTTCATTAAAAATATAGACTAATTTCTTTTTTTTCTATTTTTTTTTAAAGAATAAACGCTCAAGTCACATGTTTTTCAAATAATGGATATGTTTATATCCAAGACATGCAAAAACCAAATTAAAGGGAGAAGATGCACCTCAGAAGATGCACAAACAATTCTCATCAGAAGGATTAGTTAGAAGAATTAAATACCTACAAGGATAAAATAATCAAAATATTTCTCAAAGACATGAAGTGTACCTTGTATAATTACTTATGCAAAACATTTCTGAGACTCTGAGATGTATTAGATACGGATTTGTTTTCCCAATATTTTTGGATTTTTAGATTGCTCGATGACATGCAAATCTGGCAAGTTGAATACGGAATGTAACATGTGCTTCTGCAGTCAGATACTGTCGGGACAAGTTGTATCAGCGCATAATGGACACTATGCACCATTACATAATGTACGTCTTTATAAAAGCAATTTTATAGGCAGCATATTAACAGCAACTGACAATCTTGGGCAATTTAACCTTTCCAATGTGTGCCTTTATGCTGTCATACGTTTTTCTAAAGAAGGATTTGTTGATAGATTTGTTGAAATTGACTCTGCAACAACGAATATAACACTGGAAAAAGCAGGTATATAATTTTAACAATCACCACCCACATCCCCGCCTAAAATGAATGAAGAAAATAAAAAAAAATCTAAATAAATAAAAAAATGAGTAAATATCAGTAGAATCATGAGTAAATATCAGTAGAATCACACAAAGGTTGTAACAACAACACCTATACCACCACAACCACTAGCAACAACAACAGTTTAATACGAGGGATGTAATCGAAATGTATTGCTTCTTTCTATCTGGAGACTTCACATTTCATGTTAGCTCAAAAGTGTTCATTTCTGCCCTCTAAGTACTCCCAGTGGCTAGAAATGCAAAGTTTCAGCCGATGTATCCACTTCTTGAAGGCGTCATGGTACGCTGATTTGGGCACAGTAATAAGGTACTGATAAATGGCAGATCCAAGTGCCTGTCGGGACTTGTATTTCCGCCCAGCAAGGAAGGATTTCAATTTCGGAAACAAAATGAAATCACATGGGGCAAGGTTTGGAGAATACGGGGGGGTGAGGCAAAACAGTTACTTTTTCTTTTATCAAAAACGCCGAAACTAGTGCGGAGGTATGAGCGGGGGCATTGTCATGTAGAAGACGGATATGCTTAAAACCAGTAAAAGAGCTCGTTTCTTATAATACTTTTTCTGTTTTTTAAGTACTACGTCTTTGTAGTACTTCCCAGTGATACTTTTGCCCTTTTTCATCGGCACTTTTATTGCGACTCCTCCACCAGAGAAGAAAATTGCATACAAAACCTTCTTTGCACTCACAGACCGTTTGGCAATTATTGGGCTTTTGTTGTGTTTAGTGGCCCAGATTTTTTGCTAACTTTTCTGACAGGCTCAAAATAATGGACACGAGTTTCATCACCTGTGACGACAAAGGCAAACTGTTTTTGCCATATTTTGGAAACATTTGAAGCAGCTTTTTGGCCACCTTCACCCGTTGCCTCTTTTGCTCATCGGTCAACAGTTATGACACCTATCTAGCAGAAGTATTTTTTACTTTCAAATGCTTCTTCAAAATAAAGTGAACCATTGATAGTGATATGCCTACCTTTCGTGCAATATCACGAACTGTAAATCTGGCATATCCTTCCCTTCAATGATATCCTTTATTTTGGAAACGATTTCGTTACGAGATACAGATTTTGGCCTACCTGATTTTGGTGCATTTTTGATGCACTCTACACAAGACTCAAATTTCTTTTTCCATCGCCTAACTGTGTCATAAGACACACAAGAAGGTCCATAAGCAGTAGAGAGTTCAGTCATCAACTGCTTCAAAGAGCAACCCAGTTTTGAGCGAGCTTTGATGTAAGCCCGTAATTCATCTTTTTTGTCGACTCTTCTACCAACCATTTTTACTACGGTGTTTAATGACTGTGTGTATTTAAATGGCAAATTGTATGTCTTACACTTAGTCTAACATGTACATTTATCGTGCCCCATGTGGATCACGTGATAGAGGACAATAAGCAATTCTTTTCGAACAGCCCTCGTACATGTAATGATAATCATAATAATGAAAGTAAAAAATTGGTTATGATGATGATGAAGGTTATTTTATTAAACTCGTTCTTAAATCTACACTCATCAATCGAAACATAATTATAAATGTAGTACGTTTAACCGTGTTTGTCTTTTTGTTCACATTAATGCTTTACTATATGAGCCGCGTCACGACAAAACCAACATAGTGGGTTTGCGACCAGCATGGATTCAGACCAGCCTGCGCATCCGCTGTTCGCTTACCATCTCTATTACAAGTGGAAAAACTGACAGCGAACAGCGTGGATGCTGATCAGACTGCGCAGATGCGCAAGCTGGTCTGGATTCATGCTGGTCACAAACGCATTACGTTGGTTTTGTCATGGCGCGGCTCATATATTTGTGATATTTTTTTACCTTTTTTAAGAACTACCTTACATTACGATGGAGCCTCATACAAAATCAAGAGTGGTTGGCGACAATGTAACGCTGTGCTGCTCAGCATCAAGAGCTTCGAATATACATACTATGAATGGTAATATTTCACGTCGTTCACTTTTTTCAATCATTAAAAACTGTTTAATTAATGTCTACATCGATCTATGTATATAATGTATGTATTCAATTTTATCTGCAATGATATCTTTTATTGATTCTATTCATGATTACTTCTAGCACGTATCTTGATGAATCTCCGGAAAGCACTAAACAGAATAAATAAATAAATAAATAAATCTTAGAGAATATAGTGCAGTGTTTTAGTTCTTATTATAGGTGGTATGTTTGATCTTAAATAAGACAAAATTGAAAGATTATTAACAGTTTATCAATAAATCACTTGTATTTGTAATTTAAACATTTAAACAATTTACTCTGCTTTTATCATAAGAGTACACTTAACAGAAATCCGACAACTTATTTGTATTTTGAAGGTTTAAAGATTCAATCGTTTTAGACGAAGAAATGTATCCTAATGGTACAATGATTTTTCTGACGAACCTGAGCAAATTTGATAAAGGAAAATACAGCTGTCGTGTGAACGATGCATATGGCTCGGTTAAGTCACAGGGAGTGATTCTCGATGTGCAAGGTAATATTATGTTTTTATCAACTATAGCCAGAGGCTATCTCAATATACTGTTATTAAACTCGTTCTTAAATCTACACTCATTCAATACTCTCTATATCTATGACTGACCAACTTCAACACTTATATAAACACATTCATCAAGAAAGAATCAACGGCAAAAGAAGGAAAGAAAATATGAAGATTTAATTGTTAATATTGACAAATGAAAAGCAATTTTGAAAATAAATCAAATCAAAAAGAGGAAACATTAGATTTCGCATCAAGTTCAGCTGTGGTTTCTGAAACTATTAGCTATATACACTGAATTACAAAACACTTACAAAAAACTTGGATATTTTTTATTTAAAATGTTGGATTTGATTTACAGATTCTCCAGCCGAATTCTGCGAAAATGCTTTTGAGTCAAAGAAAATGAAACTACCATCAGACTGCTTTGGTAATGACACAAATTCTTCTGTCCTAGAAGTTGGACACTGTAACCCAAAGTTATGCCCTACCAGGAACAAAAGCCATGAACAAAATACATGTACAGATGACTCTCAAAATTGTTGCTCTGTTTCTGATTTCAAAATATATGACATTCCATGTAAAGGTTTCAAATTACCGGTAATGAAAGTACTTGCATGCGGATGTGCAATGAGCCAAACCAGAAACATCAAAATTATTGGTACCGTTTTCATATATCCGTCAAAAGGATTAGCAAAATATTTCGAAGTGTATCTAAATGGAGATTTCAAAACATATACAAATAGTAAAGGGTCATTTAATATATTTGTTAGTAAGAAAGTTCGAAAACTTGTTCTTAGCGTACAAAATCAAAGCGGCCGAACTACGACAAAATTTATTGACTTACCTGAAACGAGCGCTGGAACAGTTTACACAACTATATACGTTGTTGATGTGATAAAGACCGTTCAGATTGATCCGTCAAAGGAACATGTTATACACATTGGTAAATTATCAAACGAATCTGACGGCTCAATTGCTGAGTTACATCTTCAAAAATATTCATTTGCTAATTCTTTATTTGAAATACAAACAGGATTGGTGGATCTATACATTTCCTGTCTTGATACAAAAACAATTGCCGATATAGATGTTATGCCTGGGAGATTAAGTTATGTAAATGAACTTGGTGAATTAAATCCTATAGAAAGTTTTGGTTCATTTCATATCACTGCTTTCGATGCAAATACAAGAAAAGTTGTTTCTGTTATCAAAAATATTACTGTACTTCCTCAAACAGAATTATATGATACGAAAGAGTGGTCTTTATATAAATTAAACACAGCGTTTGGTTCATATGAATTATTACCCATAACAAATGACACTTTCGGATTTATAGATTCCATGAGACTTAACTCTTGGTTAACAATAGGCCGATCTATATCTGTGAATTCAACATGCTTTTTTAAGACTCATGTGTTCCAACACTCGACATTTACAATCGAAATAGTAGATAACCGATACCAGTTTTATCTACAAACAGTACATATTTCCACTGGCTTCTCAAAGACATTAAGTAATACGATGTCACCAAGTTCATCTTGCTTCGAAACAATCTGTGACAATACTAAAGGTTATATTGAAATGTGGGTCAGTAATATTGAAACACATTCTGAAGAGTTTCTTCATCCAGCAAACCCAAAGTTCGTTGATGACACTGGTTTAGATGAACAAAAGCAAGCATTACTTCAGTATGCTGTTTCTAGTGATAATACGCATCTCGAAATCTTATTTAAGAACACCAAAGATGGTCCATTTTTCGATTCTGAATCGGCATGCTTAGCAAGCGATACCAATCATTTTAAATTCTTTTTCAATGGCTTTGATGAAAATATATACACTTTTAGATCATTTTTAGATGTTAATTCGAATGATTCTAAAGATTTACAACGAGTAAGTCAGCGTGTTTGGTATCAAAAACGCGTTGAAGGATATAGGGTTTGCTTTGTGAAAGTTAAGATAATTATGCAAACTGATAAAAACATAATAGTACGTGTCATAAGTTTTGGAGGAACCAATGTAAACATCACAAATGTGATTCTCGGTATTCGGGAGGCAATTATATTTCAGTCATCAACCATTTGCATTGAGTATAAATGTAGCGGAACAATCGATGAGCATGCATCGCCTGGACAATACGACTTTACAAGGGTCGGCATTGATATGAAACATTCGTGCTCAGTCAAATCATTTAGTCAGACGCTTATAGACAACTTTCCAGATATTAGTACTAACAATACAAATTCCGGAAATTTCTCATTTTACGCTCCTACTTCATATACTCCTACATTTGGTATTTATTCGTCAACAACATCAAGTGGCGACATCGAATCTGCAACAGCGGATTCAAAAGGTAAATGCCGCTCCGGAAAAGCTGTCTATTCGACTGACAATCCTGATATTGGCGTGGCTGTTACATTCCATTGTCCGTAAGAATCGATTTAAAATCATGTGTGAAAATTCGGCTACAACTACAACTGATATTAAAGTGTTATATTAATTACTACATTTCTGAATAATCACCAGTGCGTCAGGAAGGTATCCTGACTGGCTGAAGCTTTCATTCTACTAGTATGACGTGTAATTATATGCATTTCTTTCTAGGTTTGCTGTAATATGTCTGTACAAGTTAACAGACATGTTTCTCTTTAATATTACTGCAGCGGTTATTATATGATAACTCAAGCTCCTTTTGAAGGCATACGATAGGTAAGCGTAACAATGATAACATAAACGTTAAACAAGTGAGAGCCTTATAAAAAAAGTTAATATTTGATAGATAATCTGCATATCCTCAACTTAGAGAGGCATACATATTTGCAAACAATATTAAATCGTCATATATTTACAAATATAACATAAACTTGTATTAGTATTATATGATATTGATAATATTACATATTCATATGCATTCATATACATATGCATTCTGAAAACTTAACATGTTAAGGGAACGGATATTTACAATTATAAAAACATTATATACTATAAGCTAATGCACTTTATTATGTACGTAAAACAGAATCGAGTGTTTCCTGACTGTTTACCGACGCAGTGTAGCTCATGCGCTACGGCAAATTACATTAGGACCGCTGTATTGAACTTTAAAAACGGCTTTGCATGTTTTTCTTGTCAAGAAATATCTATCAAATTACACAAATCTCATATTCAATGTTAACGCTTAATTGATAAATATGCACCAATTAAACACTTCTATTAAATAAAGCAGTCCTCAAATGTTACTTTTCTGTCCGAAATACCATATTCTTAGGAATATATGCTTGCTGTATTTCCTAAATCGTAGGTTGAAAAAACAGTAAATGATAGGTTTGAAAGCACTTTATAAAAAAACTATCCGCAAGGCGAATTGTTTTCCTGAACACAGTTCAAGCTTCTCTAACGATGATAAACAATATAGCAATGTTATTCTTATGGCAAAATATGGAGCGAAACACAAAACAAAAACAAGTGATACAGTAGACATTTTGTATGTAAACGTTTGCTTAAGGTTACGGTGACCCACGCTGTCAGTGTTTTCATTATTTTTGTCATTGCTTAAAATGTTTTTAAGTCGAGCTATTTTACAAAGAACGCAAGTGTATGTAACAGCAACTGTTGCTAAAATTATTGTTACAATTGAAATGTCAATGCCATAAAAAACCTTTACAGCTAGTTTGTATTCCGATTTTGGCATGGTCGTACACACATATCCAGTGACATATTCGTTACTATTTGGAATAGGGATACGTATCTCAACGCTATCAAAATATACAAGATTTCGAATGGACATTAGCAAAGAAAATATTGCTATGCCCACGATAATAAATGCATTCAATGACTTTGTTATTTGCTTTGAAAAAGGCTTACACACTTTCCTGTGTCTGTCAATAGCTATTAGGCAAATCATCAAACATGAACATGCAATTGCCAACCATACAACAAAGTAGAAGAGCTTGCACAAATACCTGTTTGTGAAGTTCACATTCATGTTATACAGATACATTACATGTGCAATCATGAGACAAACAAATACGTTCACAACATAAGTACATGAAAATAGAGAAAAATATCAAAATCCTTTCAGAACATCCACAACGGCAAACTTGAAAAATGTTGTACGCTCGACCTGACTGGTGGAAAAGACATTTTACGCAGTAAAATACTTTAAATGACCATATTTAACAAAACGTAAACGTTGCAGTCTAGTTTTATTAATCGAACTTAGTTGTTAATGGAACAAAACATTCATTTGATCAGAACTTAAAATTAGCATTTAATACTACAGGATGAAACAAAATAAAGACTACACATTACTTCAAAACAATATTTACCTTATTAAATGATCAAACGTTGTCTTCGGTAAAGCAAAATGATAATAATGTGTAAATTAGCTGCATTTCTTAATCATTTATGCATTGACATAACAATGAATCTTACTAGGGAAAAACACTTGACTCTTTATCATTAATTGCAATGGTGTATCCTTTTAAATGCAGATTTCCAAAAAGAAAGAATATAAAGTATGTCTTTCCTCATTACATATTTAAATAATAGGATGCAAATTAAAATCAATTAGAGTGCAAATTAAATTGTAATTTTGCAATCATGTTAACATTGTTAAAGATCCTGTATGTTGTAATTAATGTTGTTACCACACTTCAGTAAAATGTTATATATGTATATAATTATGCTTCTGAAACAATTTTCATGTAAAATATGTACTGCAAATATTTGTCCACATTAAATGTAATCATTAAAATATATGCATTTATTTCTTATTGAAAAATTGACTTAGACTTTAGAAAATCGAAAAAAAAATCTTATTACCTCCTTATTAACACGTAAATGTAAATCCGGAAATATCTTTACAAATAATGCTTTTTGGAACTTACAATATTGATAAATCTTCATTGAACATTATACTTATGATATAAAAACCATAAAACAATTGTGCTACAGGATCTTTAAGTCTCGAAATTAAACCATGAATTCAATAGAATACTGACAAATCTAATGTCTTTGCAAAATATAAGGAATGAAAAGGTTCGATAATTCATGAAACATATTATTTTCATATTTTTGTCACTCTTTGCTCTCAAAGGTACGGGTCAATCTTTAAATCACCGTCACGTTGGTTGATTTTTTAGGGTCTCCTAAACAGGTACTTCGATGATACAAGTAAGGGTGATCCCTCGGAAGCACTAATCACAACAAAATTACATGAACATTGCAGACTCAGTTCGATTCAGTCTGTACACGATTATGAAAAACTGAAACATCCCTCACGCCTACTAGCACTGGCTTGAGCGGTTCTCAATTTTCATGACTTAAAAGTGTTAGAATCAATGAGCTCGAAGGACCTGAAAAATATAACAATCTTGAAACAAAGTGATCCCTCGGAAGCATTAATTACAACAAAATAACATGTAATTGCAGACTCGGTTTGATTCAGTCTGTACATGAGGGATAATGAATAAGTGCAACATCCCTCACGCCCCCTAGCACCGGCTTGAGCGGTACACAATTCTCAACACATAATGACTGGCATCAATGATCCCAAAGGAACAGGATACTATAACACTGAAGAAGTATCGGGCAACATTTTACAGCTAACACTTGCTGTTATAAAGAATAAAGATCTGGAGAGAGGGCCACAAGCTCATATAACAACAATTATAACAATTAGATATATCACATATATCAGTGGAGTAATGAAATATGTATGTTATAGACTTTAAACCTATGTATATATACATACATTGTATTGTTTTTAAAAAATATATTAATGCATACGAATATTTTATTGTTCGAAGACATTTACAAATTATCATTGTGACTGTTTCTATTTTAAATGCTGTCTACAGCGGTATTAAGCATAAGTTATCAATTCATACGCTTTATGCTGTGTATTGCTTGATAGATTTAATAGAATTAGTTAGGGAGTGCAAATGAATGCAAAATCAATCAACAAAGCAATGTCCTCCTTTGAAGAAGAATTTACATCTAAATAATAAATATTAATTTCCATATTGCAATTCTTGTTTGGCGGATTTCAAAAGAAAATTTTCATTATGTTATTGTTTGATTGATTAACATTTTATTGATGTTCTATTTACATACTTGCAATGTAAAGATTGTAATAACAAATTCTGAATCACAGTAATTTAAATGTTTTGCATCTGTATAATTACGTTCTGTTTGTGAATAAACATTATTTCACATTTAAAGAAAAATATCAGGAAGAAGGGTTATTCCTCTAAAGCATTAATCAAAACAAGATTACACGAAAATTGCAGACTCGGTTTGATTTATTATATATTGTATATATAAATAGTACATGTATTAGCATATGTGATCAACAAAGGAAATGGAAATACCACTTAGGACATGAAAGAACCATCTTATAAAATTGGATCAAGTTCACACAATTATCCCTTTATTTTATGATGATTGTTGTCTTTCGTTTACTGTTTTATGCTCAAATAAAGAGACTTCATATACTAGTAATAACTTCTTTTAATTCTTTATTAAACTTATAAAGATTTTAATCTATATTCTTTGTCTAATAGGCGCATGTCAAATAAATGTAATGAATTGTGCCACCAGTGTTATGCATACAAATTTGGACAAAGGAAGGACCAGAATTCCACTGATTATAACTGAACCGGAACATGCTGACGATAACAGAAACAACTTTTTTTGTAAAAACGAATATTATTTTGTCAAAAACGATTTGAAATCTATTGTATAAAACTTATAAAGAAAATAATCAACCGTAAAAAAACTAAAATTGGCTCTCCCGCGTGGAAGAAATAAAAATATCTATCTATCATTTTGAAGAGAAACAAGTGTGCACATTTCATTTCCACTTTTTTTCGCGGAAAGAGTCATTCGTTTTGGCAGTTGCTAATACCATTTAAATAGCAGCTTTATAGACAAGTATATGCACTAAAAGAGTTCGTTACGTGGTACCAATAAATATGCATGTATCAACTATGTTATACCAAAAATATCTATGTCGCTTGTCTATTGATAACAGATATGCCGACAACACAGGATGCGCTATCAGTAGATCAGCACGTGGTAAGGTTAATGATATGCATGGGCTTTTTTAGATAACCGATCACCAAGACGTTACACTGTAGTTTTAACTCCACGTTATAATTGCGTTTAAATATAAGAAACAGTAGATCTAAATATAACTCGATCGCAGACAAATGTGATAAAGCTATGCAATTTTAACTTGTTCGCACTAATTCTCTGTGTGATTCGGTCACGATCATTTGGTAAGTAGGACCGTCCTTTGGAGACGGAATACTACTACAGTAGTCATTCTCTATTGTATAAGACTAATAAAGACAAAAATCAATCATAAAAGAAACTTATTTTGCGTCTTGAAAACGAATTGAAACGGAACATTTTCGTTTATAACC